CTTCTAAGTTTCCATGCCTTTGTTTTCTACAGTCTTTATACCCATCATATGGCACTTTTATGAAAATGGTGCACCTTCTAAAGATGGGAAATGGAGAGGGAGGAGAGGTAAAAGGTTACAAAATTCCTTCAAAAATGTACAGTTCTTTTTTATGTTTTGAATTAATGGCTTTTCTAAGTCCATTCTGTGATTAAGGTAATAAACTCCATTGAAAGATCAGGAGAAGAGGCGAGCATAGTTTTGCTCTGGAACGTTATGTTGAAAACAAGATAAGTATTTGTTAGAATAAAGTGGATGGGCTTCTTCCAATTCAGTATTTCAAGGAACAGCAAAGGTTTGAGAATTTTACAGTGCTCATGAAATATATCTTAGTTCTTCTTTCTACCCCATTCTTCTCTTCAAGTATAATGTTAGTCACGGAGCTACGTAAGGCACTCAGTTTTACTACTTCTCATTATCTCTACTCTTTGTACTGATTTGCAAAAAACATTGAAGTTTGTAATAGTTGGTAGTGGACAGCATAAAACCTCTGAGCACCAACAGGGTGCTGGATTTTTTTAAAAACTTAATGCTATTTGAAAGATAAGTAGAAGAGCAGTAAGAAAGAAATGAATGTCTAGGTGACCCTAGAAACAGAAATTGGGGAGGGGAGCATATTTGATTTAAAAAACAGGTGCAACAATTATTGCACCCACTGTTTTTAGGATAGTATTTGCATCTGTTTGTTCCTAGCCTGTTTTTCACCTGTTTCAGAGACTTCTGGATCGAGTTCATTCTTTGTGATTAACTACTGTGTTAAGAATAAGTGCAGTCATCCCTTCCCTGCTCTTGCAGTTTCTCTTGCATGTCTTCGTAACCTAGGCTGGGGACATTACACGAAAGAGTTTTATCTGTATAATTTTATGGTTAATAGGTACCTCCTGTTGTTAGTGTCCAACTAAATAGCCATATCCTTGTGGTTATGTGCTTGGGCTAACTCAGCAGGGTCTACGTTCAGGAAACTGCAATAGGCTCTGAATTGTCAACGTAAGTGTACAAAAAGTATCTGTGGGGTTGGTTTGTTTATTTATGAAAAGAGTAACCAAGAAGAGTGAGGAAGAGCAACTGGATTTGCTGTGAAGCAGGAACACAAACCTGGCATAGTGATGCGAAAGTTAGTAAATGACATTTTGATCAATGCTCTTAATACAGCAGCAGAACTATAGGTTATTTTTGGTGCTGAAAGTGATGTTACAGGTTCAGGATCAGGGCTTCATTGTAAAAGATTGCATGCAATCTCCCTCATACACGCATGTACACACGTAGTGCAGTCCCCAAGGACTAAATTGTGTCAGACATTAAGAATGCAAACCATTTATGGGACTTTCATCCCTATGTGCATCTGTTTTGCAAATACAGGACTCAAAGCCGTAAGGGGAGATTGTCTGTTTAATATTCTCTTAGAAGTAGGGCTGTTAAATGGTTAGTTTGTCACTTTCACAACTGTTAACTATTTATCCTTATTTGAAATCCAATTTAGAGAATCCTCCCCCTTGGTTACTGTACAGATGTAGATGTGGCTGATGTGAAGTTTGATATAACTAAAGTCTGAATGAGTAATATTTGGGGTAAGGGAGAAATATGGTCTTTACAAGGTGGACCAGCCACTGGGTTAACAGACATTTTCTGTCTGGGTGACTTGTCAGTTTTTAGGAGGTGTCTGCCTGTTTTTGCCTCTTGTAAGGGTTGGCTTTCTCTACCAGTTCCTGTCCTTTCAGCTGTTGAATTTATGCTTAACTGACATGAGCATGGGAATGGTGATTTTTAAAAAATTGATTATGAATTTGTTTTGTATGAAAGCCAACCCTAATGAAAAATGTTAACATAGAAAGAAAAAGGTATTTTGCTAAAACAAGCTTTGGAAGTAACGTTGCTCTTTTTTTTTAAAAATAAAAAAAAAAAAAGAACAGATAGTGGCACAGAAAAAACTCAGTGTGAAGGAAAATTGACTATGCATAAGAAATCAATGATGCCATGTAGACAAAGAGAATTGTTAAATGGATGAGCATAATGAACTGAAGAAGCATCACTTTGAAGTGTCAGCAGGCAAAAGATAATATAGGTGGAAATACATGTGGCTGTGCTCTACTGAGGTTAACACCTTGTAGTTTGATTTTTGTAATGGTGCTGATGTAATCCGTGTGTTACTGTGAATGCATTAACATTACAATTGAAATTACAAGACTTTATAAGGGTAATGGCTCACCAAATTGTCCAGGAGTGTTCCCATGTCTGGTGCTGTTGTGAAAGTTGTTTTTAAATTTGGTTGTGTATTGCTTTAAAGTACAGTAAGAACGAAGTTAGTTCGGCTAGAAAAGTACAGTGGTAGGGAGCTACCTCTTGGTAAGTTTAACTTCATATGTCTGCTTCTTGGAAAACTGGAGCAAGGAGATGTGAGGGATGGGGTGAAACCTGTCAAAGGACATACACTTTAGTAAGAAGTGAAATATTGCTTCACTTTAAGCAATATTATACAAAATGACTGATGGTAATAACATCTGTGTCCCAGAAGACCAGTCTGACCAGCAACCTTGGACACGGATGTGACACAGCACAGCGAACACTGAATGCTTGGGCAGTAAGTAGAGTTTGTGTGTCTTGGATATTTTGTATCTGAGGATATGGTGAGAGCAGTGTCATGCAGGAGGGACTTTACTGTTGTTATGTCAAGTACTGGCAGTGCAGAGACCTTCTTTATCTGTGACCCATCTGCTTCTCCACCCAGCAAATAGAGGGGCAAATAAGATTGTCAGCTATACTTTGTAGGACCATGTATTAACGTACTAGCTGTGCAACCCTCCATCCCGCACCACACCATGTTCCTCACGGTCCTCTGTCTCGTGGCATTCACTGCTTCTTGTCCAACATTCCATCAGTCATTGAAGTACCTTCTTATATTCATTACGTCCATGGTGCCAAATACATTCCTGTGGCATCTCTCTGGTTCCTCCTGTATGGCACCCATGTAGTATATTTCCCAAAACCTGTGCCTGGCGTGGTATTGTTTGCTGCCAGGCTGTGCACTGGTGTCTCGGGGATGGTGTATGTTGGTCCTCAGCACAGAGATTGTCCAGCCCACTATTTGCAGTGTTTCTCTGGTGGACTGGTGTACTTCCCAGAAGATGCAGAGACACAGCCAAAATGCTTTGGTTTGTCCTGGATAAATGCCGGGTGCCCACCAAAACTGCTCTATCACTCCCCCTCCTCAACCGGACAGGGGAGAGGAAATATGGTGAAAGGCTCGAGGGTCGAGACGAGGACAAGGAGAGATCACTCACCGGTTACCGTCACGGACAAAACAGACTCAACTTGGGGAGAAAAGGGAGTTTAATTTATCACCAATCAAATGATAGTGGGACAGTTAGAAATAAAACTAAATCTTAAAACACCTTCCCCTCACCCCTCCCTTCTTCCTGGGCTCACCTTCACTCCATTTTCTTTACCTCCCCCCTACCCCCCGAGTGGCGCAGGGGGACGTGGAATGGGGGTTATGGTCAGTTCATCACACATTGTCTCTGCAGCTCTTTCCTCCTCAGGGGGAGGACTCCTCACACTCTTCCTCTGCTCCAACATGAGGTCCCTCTCACAGGAGACAGTTCTCCACAAACTTCTCCAACGTGAGTCCTTCCCACAGGCTGCAGCTCTTCACGAACTGCCCCAGGGTGGATCCTTCCCACGGGGTGCAGTCCTTCAGGAACAGGCTGCTCCAGCGTGGGTCCCCCATGGGGTCACAAGCCCTGCCAGCAAAACTGCTCCGGTGTGGGCTCCTCTCTCCACAGGTCCACAGGTCCTGGCAGGAGCCTGCTCCAGCGCAGGGTCCCCAAGGGGTCACAGCTTCCTTCAGGCATCCTCTTGCTCCGGCTTGGGGTCTCTTCCACAGGCTACAGGTGGAGATCTGCTCGCCCACCATGGTCTTCAGCATGAGCTGCAAGGGAAAACTTACTGCTCCAGTGTCTCGAGCACCTCTTCTCCCACGCTTCACTGACCTTGGTGTCTGCAGAGTTGTTCCTTTCACATCGTCTCACTCCTCTCTCTCTCCACTACTGTCTCACAGTGGGGCCCCTCATCACCTCTAGTTTGGCCCTTTGTCACCACTTTTGCTATGGATGGGACTTGAAATGTTTTCTGGCAAGGGGGTAGTGGTATGGTTGAGGTGAGAAAGAAGGGGATCAGGGATGTTGGAGAACGAGTGGAATGGACGATGGGAGCCTAGAGAGGTGGTCTTCAGCCATACAAGATGACTGACAGACTGTGTCCTAATTCTGTAACTTCCACAGCTTCTGGAGTTTTTTCCTCTGGCGACTTAAATGGTTCCATATGCCTGCTGTGGATTAAGCTACAATATGTATTTCACTAGAAAAATAAAATGAAATTAAATTGTTTCCATTGAAAAAAGAAAATCTGGTTCCCCTAATCTTATAGATGACTCCACAGCTACCATTGAGACTATTTTAGGTTCAGTGCTATTACACTTCTGTAAGTAAAATGGTAAAGTGTTTTAAAGGCTTGTTTTGAGTAAAAATTATCCTGTAAAAAGTGTATGTTAGAATAGTGGTATAAAAAAGAAACCACCCACCAAATTCGGCATGATTGTGGTAGTTGGAAAATTCTGGGAAATGTATTTCGCTGCGGTTGACTTGATTTAGTGAAAACATCTGTATCTGTTAGTAGCAGAAATAAGATTTCTTTAAGACTTCTCTTTGGAGCTGTGAATGGATGTGAGGAAATACACCTCTCTGTAAGTGGGGTCTGCAGCCGGTCCAGTGGGGAGCAGCGTGGGGGGTCTCACGAGGTACCAGTCGGGTCTCTGACAGATGAGCTCTTTGCTGGGCATAGCTGTGCCACTGTCTGCTGTTTGTCTCCCATCCCCCTGCAACTTTCTGCCCTCATCCTCTGCAGTAATTTTGCAGCAAGGACAGTAGACCAGGTTGTGTCTTCCTACATCTTTTCCCAATTTACAGCCCATTGAACTAGCTGAAGCTGCTGCTGATGTTGAGCCTGTGAAGGTCCGGTTGGCAGTGATTGAAGCACAGACATCCATGCCGCTTGCCTTCTCCTGTCAAGATATTGACCTTAAGTGGCTGGGACAAATCCGTCTGGTGGTGCAGGGGAGTTTTACCTCAGTTTTGGATAAAAGTGAATTGGCAGTAACAAATCGGTCATCTCTTTGTGCCATCTGGGATCCAATAAAGCGAATGTTCTGATGTTGTGTTGTCCTGCATGTGGCCTCCTTACTGAAAGGGTGGGTCAGGGTGTTGGACCAGCCTGAAGATGGAATGGCAATTGGTCTCCCCTCAGTTCTTGTTGCCACCTAGCTGCAGACGAGACACATGCTGTGGTATATCCATGGTCGGTTTGTTTCTGAGGTAGTCATCCTGTGTGTTCTGTACCGGAGAGGGAACGTGGTGAGGCGGATTGATTCCCTACAAAGCCCAGCACTGTACGGAGGGAGGGACAAAGGTCTTGTCTGTGGATTCTTCTCAGCTGCAGCTTTCAGTGGCCAGATACCACTCTGCTTTTATTCCTGCCAAAACCCTACTGTGCCTAGGCAATGCTGTTATTTGTATCAATGGAACAAACAGTTTTTCAGTGAGAAAGAATAACAGACCTGCCTTGATGACAGAAGTAGCAAATTCCTGTTTGAGTATAATTTAAAACATACTGGCCAGCATGTCTTAAAGTGTACTTTTTATGAAGAAAAAGCTCTAGTGGGGTGAGAAAAAGGAATACTGGAATCCTCTAGTTTTCTCCACTCTTTATTTTTGATTTGACCACTTGACTTTGTTTCCTGCTGGAGAAAGACTTAGTGGTTCTTTGAGCCCATGTGCATTGGAAAGCAACTCCTGAGCATCCAAGAAGAGTAAGATTTTCAAGCCCAGGGTGGAACAAAGTCTCCACATTTAAACTTTGGTGGAAGTTTCATTGTCAGAGTTTTGATACAGTAGGTGAGGACGATGCTTTTTATCACTAATAGCCTGCAGGACACATTAATTTACCCTGATGTATCTGGAACAGTACTACACTCATTGCTCGAGTGAAATTAATGAAGCCACTCTTTGCTGGCATAATAGAGTAACTGACTTCTCTTGATGCCTTGTTTATGCAACACCTCTTGATTAGACACAGGCATCAGTTGCAAGGAATAAAAAAGACAGAAGAAAATTTTCTAGTGTGTAGGAAGGAGCTGGCAGTGTTTTTAGACTTTTTAAATCCTGTTGCATCTATCTCTCACCACAGCTATTTAGTCATCTTTCTTGCCTCCCCTGAGGCAAGCAACTTTAAAGTCGCATTGAGTGATTGTTATTTTGCCATACTTAAAAGCTCCATACTTGCTGATGCTGTCAGTCATATCTTCACCACAAAAATGAATTTATTAGGTTGTGACAAACACTAGGGTATGTTCAGTGGACATGATGGCTGTCAAAAGAGTTTGAATGAATTAGTTCAAGAACAATCTTTTTTAGTAACAATTAAGTGTAAATTTTTCTGCCATTGCAGTAGTCTGCTACAGTATGCAGTGCCAAGCTCTGGGAGTTTAAAATAAGTTTTCGGGGGGGGAGCCGGAAGTTGATTGCTAGATATAATGGTAAAAAACTTAGGGTTAGTAAGAATAACAAGATCTGGGTCATACTTGCTGGAACTGCTTCTGTGTCAGTGGAGAGCCATTCTAAACCCATTTAATTACAACTATTTTAAATGCAACCAACAGACAAATAGGCACACCTTTACACTTATTAGTATATTGGGCAAAGAGATGTTTTCTTGTTTCAGTTTGGAGTTTATAGTAATTCTTAGGTGCTACTTGAGCAATAAATGTTGATTTAATAAGTGCCTCATTACAGCTACAACATACTGCCATTTTATTTGGCTCATGTTGCTTTGCTCATGCTGAAGTATACCCAGGGGATGAATAGGAGTTGTGCCTTGCCACAAGTAGGATACTGTTTTCACTGTGAGCTTGGGGAGGATGCTGTCAGCAGTGTCCCTGAAGACATCTTGTGGTATTGGCTAGGAAGCTATTTGGGCTTGTCGGCCCATGGCAGGTGTGTTTTGCATGCATTTGCTGAATGCTGCCTCTCATTGCATGTTCTGTTGAAACTTCGTGTGCCAGGTCTGTCTGCAGAGAACATACAGATATGCTTCCATCTCATTTATTTAATTTGCCAAACAAGATCTGTTAAAGCACGGAAAGGTTGCTTTTGCCAAGTGTAGCTGGTCAGTGAGTAAAGTAGTTGATTCTTGAAAGGCAAGACCAAAGCAGGAGTGTCGTATTGTGTGAAGCTACTTCATCACATGGAACTTAATCCTTGTTCTTTTTTTTCATCCTTCATCTTTCTCTGGTCAGCAGTCCTGTTCTGGTGGTGGCTAGGATTAGCAAAGAGTTACAGCTGAAATACGGCCAGCAAGATGCCATGCTGCCAGGTGTCTGAGGTCTTGAATATGAGCCCTTGTTTGTGGTTCCTATTCTTCCTTCTTGGAAAGCCATTTTCCTAAGTTGAGTATTTGGGGTGGCTCTGCAGAGTCTGGCTGCCTGGGGCTGCGAGGTGAGTCCTGGGCAAGGATGTCTCTCACACCTTCCCTGTTCCTTCCGGGTGAGTAAAAATTTCAACATGAGAAGCCAGGTGATACTTGGTGGCCTAATATTGAGAGGTGGAGTTGGTCACATTCTCTCAGGGAGGTGGGTGACCTTAGCAGGGCCCCAATCCAGCTCTGCTGGTAACAAACGTGGTGGCCTGTGTATTCTGACCCACCTGCCTTCCCATCGGTGGGAATGTAACACAGTAGATATTTTTGTTTGTTTGTTTTCTGCTATACTCTTACTTTTTCATATCTAGAGGGAATGCCCTGTCAAACTGAGAAAGGCTTTAATTTCTCTCTCTCTGTGGTTGTGGCATAGTGATCTATTTTTCAGTGTAGTAAAGTATGATTGGGCCTGTGTGTTCATGCTTGTATCTCTTTTATAAAGAGAAATTTTTCTCGTTAAACCTGTATGTCATTATGCAGTGTACTGTTTTTTTTTTCTTTTTTTTAGAAACGTGACAGCACAATTCACTTTTCCATTTCTATAGCATTATATTTTAATTTTGCCTTTAATTTGAAGCCATAAAGCTATGTCATAATAAGAACCTTCCTATGGAAAATAGTAGAAATAGATTTCTCCCACCCCAATTTTTTCATGAGTTCCCTGAAAAAGAGCTATTAAAAAGAAAGAAAACTCAACTTTCAGTTTTAGCTGAAATGCTTTTGGAATTAAATGCCATTAACTTTTCATTTATTATAGAATTGCTTTTATCTCAGTTTATGCTGCCATTCACTCATGTCAAATATATTTTTGCAGTCCTGATGCAAGTTCAATCGTCAACTGAAGGTACAATTTCCAAATTAATTCACTCTTGCAATTTCCCACTCGCTCTTAATATCTCAAGCTGGATTACAACCCACAAGAGCAGCTGTGTGACTCACTGTAATCTGTTTCCTAGTATTACTAGGGTCTATTTTTGCTGTGTGGGTTGTTTTTTTTTTCTTTTTTTACCACTCTGTAAAAGCTTTGGTTATATCTTTGGCTGAAATTGATATCACAATTCAGTATTAGTGTTTACCCTTTTCCTTCATACACCCCACCCCTTCTATATCTCTATGTAGATTTTTTGCAATTTTGGGAGCATCTTATGTCGCTATTACAGTAAATACTAATACCAATAGTAGCTTTCACTAGCAAAGGGATAATAATTTTCTTAAGTCTTAGGATAAAAGTAATTAAAAGGAAGCTGCCATCTACATTTTGGTATGTGTGTATGGCAAAGCTGTGCAAGTCCTGTGTTCTGTGCCATCTAGCTCAGTGTCCCATCCGGAACGTTTGCCAAAAAAAGGGATACATTAAGGAGGCTTGTAGGAAAGATGACATATTGTGTGTTTCCTTCTGTAGGCTTCCTCAATGCTTCAACCATTTCTGTTGCAGTCTTTCAGAGTCAGACATGACTTCTGTGGCATTTTCTCTTGTGAACCTGTTCACCTTCCCCCGAACCCGTATGGATGCTGAACATTCATTGCATACTGCTGTGTGAAGAATCACTCTCTATTGCTTGTTTGGACCTGTTACATGCTAGCTTTGTTGGCTCTTCCTAATTCCTGTATTCCTGGCTCTTCTCTCCTGAAGAGACAATGTATAATCAGTCCTGTTTGTTTTATTTTTTATTGAATGCCACTTCTGGCTTTACAGGCCTTTATCGTGTTCTTCTCCTCCCTACAATCTTTTCTTCTGTGAAGTCTCCACTCTTACTTGCTCCATGTCTGGCTAGTTGCCTGAAAATACCTTGTGAGGGGAGTCTGAGTGGGTTTTTGTGGCTTTTGTAGACAGAAGTCTTGCTTTGCAAACCTGCTGGAGTTCTTGTGAGGGTTTGGCAAGCGTGTGGACAAAAGCTATTTTGACTCTTCCTTAAGACACTTCGTGATTTAGAAGTGTTGAAGTTTATAGTGGTCCTCAAAACTACAGGCTGGAGCATGATAATGGGTACTGCTGAAATGGTCTCAATCAACGGCTTTGTAGGGAGGACTGCTAAAAAGTATAGCACAGTGAAAGGCCTGTCAATCTGAGATTGCATCTATATGGAGCGACTAAAGGTTAAACATTGGTCTCCATCGCTCCTCTGGTCAGGAAGGCTTACAACTAAAACTTACCCACCAGTTCTTCTATTACAAGGCAAAGCTTTCAGTTTTGCATTCTAAAGAAGCTAAGGGATTTATGGATGGATTTGAATGGAATGAATGGATTTATTTTGAGGTAGTGTGAGCCCGTGTGTATGTAGTCTGTTTTTCCAGGATAAATATGTTAGTTAGAAATATTGAAAATAGGAACACGTTGCAAAAGGCTTTCTGTGCAACTGTCAGTCAGAGGGGATTACAGAGGGGACAGTAAAGCACTCATTACCAAAGCTGAAGGCTTTGCCCTTTCCCTCTGTCCTGCTGTGACCTTCGTGAGAGAGCTGCCCTTCGCATCCCGGCTGGCAGGCAGAGGCCAGCAACTTGTCTGGTTCCATCCCTGTGTGAAGCAGGGGGCAGAGAAGAAACCTCAGTACCGTTCTGGCTGTTCTAGGCAATGCCTGTCCTCAGCAAAGCCAGACCTAATGCCTGGTAAG